AAGGCAATCTTTAGAAAATGACAATATTTTCACAGACTTGGGAAAGTGTTTACAAAACATGTATCTGATAGAAGGGTTTCATCCATAATATATAAAAACATTAACAACTCAATATCAAGAAGAAAATCAACCCAGTTAATACGGGCAACAGAGTTGAGTAGACGTTTCTCCAAAGAGAATATACGTAAGGCCAATACGCACATGAAAAAGTTCTCAGCGCCATCAGTCACTAGGGGAAACGCTCATTAAAAGGAGCTGCCCACAGTGAGGTGCGTTTACACTTATTGAAACACTTCACCTAATGACAGAAAAACACACAATTTCCTCTAGTGCTCATAGAACATTCACCAAAAAAACTGTATTATGGACTGCAAAAGAAGTCTCAGCACATTTGAAATCATACAACCTATGTTCTCTGATCACACTGAGGTTAAAGTAAAAATCAATAGCAGAAATACATGCGGAAAAACTCCAGATGTCTGACAATTAAGCAGCACCCTGCTAAGCAAGCCGTAAGTCAAAGAGGGAATCACAGGGGAAATCGGAAAACACAGGAGACGCATGAAGCCCGCCACAGCCCGTCGGAGTCTGCAGGGCTCACGGCGGGGCTCAGTGGGGACTTCACAAGGAAATGGAAGTCTGGACTCCTCCTTCACAAGACCTGCTCCCCCCCACATCCCCATTCCCAGTGGTGGTGCCACGACCCTCTCATTGCGCAGGACGAAAGCTTTGGCGTTCCTCTTGGATCCTTGCCTTCCTCATCCTGTGTCCGGTCACCTGCACGCCTTCTGCTGGGCACACCAATCATCCCAGTGACTTCCTGGCCAGCCACTCAGCTTCCTCCCTCGGTTATCCACACGGCAGCCAGGTGGTCCTTTCTAAAACGTAAAGTGAACCGTGAGAAGAGAAAAGACTCTCCTGGTCTAGTCCCTCCAATGGCTCCTCATCCCAGAATAAACCTGGAGCCCTGGTTACGGTCGTCTCTGTCCCGCAGGACCTGGCCCATGACCTCTCTGGCCTCCTCCTGTCTCCCCATCGCTCCCTCTGCTCCGTGGCCACCCCTCTCCCTGGAGCACCCTTTCCGCAGGTATCTGCTTGCTCCCTCATTTCATTCCGAAAAATAGCAACCTGTATTGATCAGGCAGTCATCTACAGCTGCACGGCAAATTATTCCAAAACTCAGGGTCTAAAACAACAACAAACATTTATCATCTCTCACAGTTTCCGTTGTCAGGAATTCTGGAGCAGCTTGAAAGGTAGTTCAGGTTCAGGGTCTCTCGCGAGGTGACAATCGAGAGGTCAGCCAGGCCTGCAGGCTTGAAGGCTCCGTGGGGGACTGGAGGCCTCTAGACTTTCCAAGGTGGTTCGCTCCCACGGCTGGCGAGTCAGTGCTGGCCACTGGCAGGAGGCTGTCGGCGAGGAGTTCCTCTCCACACTGGCCTCCCCCAGGGCAGGTGACCCAGGAAGGACAATGTCAGAGGGAGGCTGTTCTGCTCAGCTCAGAAGTCACACACTGTCATTTCTGCCAGGTTCCTCTCAGTAGGAGGGTCGTTTAGTCCATCCACATTCAGAGAGAGCAGAATTGGGCTCCCCCCTCAAAGGGATGCACGTCAGGGAAATTGCTGGCACGTTAAAACCGCCACACAGTGCCATCACTCTGTCCTCCTGCTCTGCTTCCTTTTCCTCAGAGAACATAAAGCTGCATGAAATGGTCTGAGGTGCTTATTCGTTTGATATATGCTGAATCAGGGGTCTAACCTTCCCCAATAATTTAGAGCAGCACCTGCCACGTAGAGGGAGCTCGGTGAATGCCTGTGAGTGAATCAAATGTGAAAGTCCAGCCTTGCCCACGGTGGGATCTGTGGGGACCTTGTGATGGTGGGAAGATGGGCTTCCAGGAAAGGTGGGATCTGCAAAGTCAGAGAGCATGGGGACAGGGGTAGAAGGGACCTGGTGGTGGAGGCGGAGGTAGAACCGTGCGGAGAGTGTGCGAGTGGGAATCAGCAAGAGGGAAGCACGATGGTACCAGGGGCTGCAAGTGCTCCCTGTGAGGGCCCCTGGGCTCCTCAGATCAGGACGGGGTCCCAGTGGCCAGGCCTGCTGACAGCCAGCCCACTTCCCCAGTCCTGACTGGGAGCCGGCCCTCGCAGCCGGGGGACGCCAGCCAGTGGCCACCCTCTGCCCGCTGGGCCAGCCACAGGCCAGGTGTCTGGGCACAGCTCTCGCACAACTGCTCCTGCCTCCCGGTCATTCTCCTCCTCTCCTCGTCTCCTGTCAATGTGTCTGCAGAAACGTTCCCACGGGCAGCCCAGCACTCAGATTCACCTCCAGAGGAGATGTGGAAGCGGCTTCTTGTCCCAGTTTCTGATCTGACCAGAATCCTAGGGAAGAATCCTGAGCGGTGGGCTTGGGTCATGTGACAACCTCTGGGTCAATCGACTGAGGCCAAGGACGGCTGTATCTATGACAACCTTTACTAGAGCCCCTTGGTTGCCGTTGGGAAGGAGGAGGAGCAGCTCCCTCTAGTGGAGGGAATGAGTGAGCACTGAGGCAGGTTGTACACTCAGAGGGCATCTCTCCCTGGGGCAGTCAGGGCCTCCTCCCAACTAGGGGCCAGAAGCAGCACCCAGGTCTCCTTGGCCCTCCCCACAGAGTTTGATGAACCAGGATTCAGAGGGGTCCAAGTCCCAGCAGTCTCTTGCATAGCAGGGCAAAGCAAGTTCAACGCCTTCCACAGCAGCACGCCCCTCAGTGGGGGTGTGGACGAAACCCACAGGGTAAAGCCGAGCCCAGGACAGACTCATTCATGGGAGGGGCTGAGGCCCGTGACGTGCAAGGGGCAGACGCCTGAGCTCCAACAGCCTAGGGGAGGCAGTGGTGTGCTGGTAAACTGGCATCTAAAGCGGGAGAAGTAAAAGCCCTGATTTGCAGAGTTTGGTAGTTTCCACGTAACTACTCTGACCATGTCAAGGTCAGAGAACCAGGGCTGGTTGTCCTTCCACTGTGGACCTCAATCCCAGAACAGAGAGAGGTGGAGGGCTGTATCCGGATGTGGGCAGATTAGCCCCCAAGCAATGATTTCCTTGCACTGCAAGAGAATGACAAGAAAGCCAGCACACCAAGCACTGCAGCCCCTGCCTCAGAGCTAGGGGAGTCTGCAGCGTCTATGCTGGGCTGAAGACGGGGAGGTCAGCCTAGTCGTGAGAATTGTAGGGGGACAGGGAGTGTGACCCTGTTGTGAGGGACATGGCTCCTCCCCTCTCTACTGCTCAGGACATCACTAAGGTGTGGGGACAACCTGCTTTGTCCCCACTGGGGGCTTCTGCTGTTGGGTCTGCAGAATCCTCGGTTGCTATTGGAAACGGTGATGTCACTGGCAGGAGGTGGAGCTTCAGCCATCCTTTGAGTTAGGGAGGGGGAGGCACACTCCACGGGTGATGAGGACAAAGAATTGGGATCACGAGGACCAGAAGGACAAGGAGGTTCTGGAAAGGGGTGGAAGGGGTTGCTTGGAGTAAATTAGGAGAGGGGCTGCAGAGAGAAGAGTGGAAACAGAGGATAGACATGGAATGTCTATCCAGGCACACACTTCACTGGAGCAAGTGCTTCTCGACGTCTAGCATTAGTCTCACCTGCTGCAGACCCAACTCCCTTTGGCCTTGGTCTCTCTACAGCTGGTCTGGGCTCAGACCCCCAGACTCTTCTGGAAGATCCAGCTCAACATGGGGCGGCCACTGTCACCCCTTCTAGTCTTCTCAGCCTTCTGGGGGGAGTCCAAGTCACATGGTGGGGCTGATGAGGTCCCATTTTTGAG